TTTTTCTCATAAAAAAAATAAAGAGACACTTTTTTTGTGCGCGCGAGTGGTGGGTAAAAAATAACTCGTGTGCGCGTTGAGAAAAAAAAGAGCGCTCTCTCTCGCGCTCTCTGAGAAAAGGGGGGGGATTTTGCGCGGTGCGCGCGTAGAGATATTTTATATACACATATGTGTGTATATATATTTGTGTGTGTGAGGGGTGTGCGCGTGTTCTTCTCTCCCCTTTTTTTTTCCTCTATATCTCTTTATATCACTCTTTTTTATCTCTCGCGAGCACAGTGACTCACGTGGAGTGTGCGTGGTCCGCCCCCCCACTGCGGACACACGGGGGGGGGAGAGACGACACTGTCACGGGGCGCGCGCGCGCGCGCGCGCTCCCCGGGGACACGCGCGCGCGGGGGGCGCCCACGAGGTGCACACCGGGCTCTTGTGAGAGAGATACACACATATATTTTTTTTTTGTGATATATATATATATATATATATATATATATATATATATATATATATATATATATATATATATATATATATATATATATATATATTATATATAACAATTAATTATTATGAATTTACCTTACTCATATTGAATAATTGATATTTTTATTTAGTTATGTCCATTGATGACAATGCATTCATGGCATTGAGAGCTGTCGAATTCGGTGCGTTTCTCTATATGAAGAAACCGGCGACAAAGGAGATGATGAGTTTCCTATGGCAATACGTGACGAGGGAGAGGATGAAGTTAATGCCGCCAAATAATTTTATTAATAATAATATTAATAATGTGCGGGGCGTGGAGATTAGGGAAGTGGTGCATCATACCGACTACCAAAACCCTAATAATAATATCGTTTACGGCAACAACATGATGATGAACAACATGGTCGTGATGAACGACAAAGGCAACGCCACGGCAATCATGGATATGCCCGGGATAGTCAATGGTGTTCTTGTCGATAATCAAGATATCTACGACTCGGAGGAACGTATGTTGATGATTAGTAATAATAATAGGGTTAAGCGAAAGGTGTGCACCGAGTGGACTCAGGAACTGCACGAAAAATTTATGGAAGCCGTTGAAGAACTTGGCGATGGAAGTAAGCGTTTTTCTTTTTCTTTTTCCTTTTTTTCAATCATAATCATTTTTTTCGTCCCCCCCTCCGATATTGCGTAATAAATTAGTGTCGATCCCGATATATTTAATTATTTTTTTCTTTTTTTCCGTATGCGTAAATTATGTGCATATATAGAAGTATTCGATATCATAATTGTCGCAAGATATTTGACTAATTAATTAAATTCGATCGTAAATATTAGGGTGTTTCCCGAAAGAGATTCTGGAGTTGATGAAGGTACCTGGTCTTACAAGAATGCAAGTGGCTAGCCATCTTCAGGTATTATTTGCTACACATTATTAATATAATTTAATAACATAGTATATATATAGTATATATGTATAATTATCAAAAACCCTAATCATCTTTTTTTTTCCAAAATTAGAAATGTCGTAACGACAACTGGCGGTCGCCGCAGCAGCGAAAGGCCAGCCTGGCAGTGCAGGCGGTGTCGACCGATAGCGGCGGGACAGGGTACAAGCCGAGGAGATTCGGATCCATGCCCAAATTGGGCAAAACGGGCGTGGCTCCGTCGTCGCACCGGATGATCCAGGACGGTGGGCCGCATGGCTCCAAAACCCTAGCCGAGAGCGAGATCGTTATTGAGAGCCAAGTCGAGAACACGGTGAATATGGGGTCCGTTGTCATGGCCGGTGACGGTACGCCACATCATCATTACGGAGGGTCGTCGTCGGTCAACGCTGGAAGTGGTGGTGGTGTACCTGCACCGCCACCACCTGCAGGTGCAGGGATGTTAATATACTCTACAAACCCTAGGCACCCATCTGATGACTTCTTCAGCTTTGACCATGATATGGACTGCCTGATTCAGAATTTCGCGGGTAATAATTTGGCGGCTGGATCCACACCGGTTAACGACGTGGCTGATACGAGCGTGTACCATTACGAGGACCCGGTTTATAACCAGCATCATGAACAGGTGGTTATTATTCTTTGAATTTATTAATAATTAGAAAAACCCTAGTTTGATTTTTGATGATTAATTGATAATGGTGTTTAACGACGATGCGTGATTGTGTTCGGCAGAACTGTAACAACGTGGCGGCGGCGGTGAATGTGGAGAGCGGAGGAGCGCAGTGGAATTCGGATACTTCCAACTTTGAGAGTGATGATTCAGGAAACAGGGGTAATTAGAAAGTTACGTTGCATGCATGCATGCAGTGTGATCGTGAGGGATATTTATTAATTATAGTCATAAATAAACTTGAATAAAGTATGCAGTGTGGCACTGGTTTTGCATACAAGAACTTATTATTATTTTATTTTTATTTTTATTAATGTAGTGAGTAACTATATGTTTGGGTTTTTTTCTTTGTTTTTTTTTTGTTTTCCTTTTTTTAGGATTTAATAACTATATATATATATATGTGCATGTCTGCAGCAGTGTGTACTTTGGGATTTGCATGATTGTATTTGTACTGTTGCTTTGTTGCTTGACCGCGGCATTATATCTGAATAATAATCAGGGCCGGCCCTGGCCCAGGGCGAGCAGGGCCCAGGCCCAGGGCCCACTTTTCAATGGGGCCCAAAAAATATTTTTTTTTTGTTATTATTTTATAATTTTTTTCTCTTTTTCTAACCCCTATTCTCTTCATCTCTTAACTTTTTAACCCCCACTTTCCTTTAATTTTTTTGACCCAATCCATCTTGTCATTTATCTCTCTATTTTTTTTCACCCAACCTCTTTTTTGTCCTCTTACCATTTCTTTCTCATGTACATTGTTTTACTCTAACTTAATTTTTCTTGCACTCCTATATATTTCTCTATTGTTAGTTTCTACAGTTTAAACTTGGTTGTTTTTTCTATGATATTGGTGTTTTTATTTCACAAAATTAAATTATTTCATTTTTGTTAAGTTAAAAAACTTTTTTTCTAATACCCATTTTTATTTAATACATCCATATCTTACACACACACAAACACACACACAGACACATACACACACACACACACACACACACACACACACACACACATATATATATATATATATATATATATATATATATATATATATATATATATATATATATATATGTATATATAAAAAAAAATTTGTAATTTAGGGTCTCTATTTATATTCGTGTGTAGGGGCTCCTATCACTCAGGATCTGCCCTGATAAGAATATGACTATGTGATTTTTCCTTTTTTTATATACAAATCTCTCTCTCTCTCTCACACACACAACCCCCCCAATAGTATTAATGG